AAGTATTTTCTGTATTAACTGTGAATGAATAGAATAAAATAAATTGCCTGTGGGAAAAAAAAATAATATTCTACAACACAGCATGGTATGATGTTTCAGTGTATGTATACATTGTGTAACAATCAAGTCATGCTAATTAGTAAAAGGATCTGATGCCCTCTTCTGGCATTTGTGGGCACTGCATGCACACAGTACACATACATACATGTAGATAAAACATTGATACACAGAAAATAAAAATAAATCTTTAAAACACTTGCTGTGGATATATCATAGGAGCCCTGTCTTTTCTCCCTAGGGAATCAGAAATTCTGCTTGGTGCATGGGGGTCTCTGGGAGGGCGGGCGGATTGGAAGATGTCCCAAGTAGAGGAGCATCAATAGCCAGTTCCTACAGGAGTGTGAGTGACTCAAGTCCAAGACTTGAGTGAAACATGTTAGGAGCTGTAGGAAGCTGCCTGGTTCCTGTGTGAGAGGCACCCTGGCCTTCCAGCTACTCAGCATCTTACTGTGTTATGTTTGGAGGTGGTTCTAGGGAAAATTATTTTGGTTCCAAGTGATAGGATCTAATTAATCAAGCTGGCCTAAGAAAATCTGTGTCTTGGGAGATGTCCTACTTTGATTGACCAGGCATGAGTCAGTAGCAACAACAGGATGGCATGGAGATCAAGGGAAGGAGAGGTGGATTTTTTTTTTCGAGACAGGGTTTCTCTGTGTAGCTTTGCGCCTTTCCTGGGACTCACTTGGTAGCCCAGGCTGGCCTCGAACTCACAGAGATCCGCCTGGCTCTGCCTCCCGAGTGCTGGGATTAAAGGTGTGCGCCACCACCGCCTGGCTGAGAGGTGGATTCTTAAAACAACAGGACTATTGCTTTGAAAAGGCCAAAGAGAAACAGCCAGTGTCCACCACTGTTGCTGGAGCATCTTGAGAGTCAAGCCTCCCTGACTCACAGTCAGAGCTCTGCCAGACACTGGGACCCAAGGGAAATAGTTTCCCCAAGGAGTCAACTGCTCCCTAAAAGGAGATGCCAAGTAGCTGTCAGAAACAATTTGTACTATGCACTTCTGGGACGTTTAGACATTCCCAAACATGCTTTATCGCATGAAGCAAGAATGCCGCACAGCACCTTGGGGTATGAATGGGACCTGCTCAATCTTAGCAGGTTACAGTGTATGGTTACTTTTTTACTAGTTACCTGTTGTTGTGACCATTTGTTTCTGTTTTTGTCACAGTGACCAGATACTTGACAGTGAACAACGTAAGGGAAGATTCTTTTGGCTCCCGGCCAGGGTGACAGTGGATCATGGCAGCAAAGGCGTGAGCTCTGGATTGTGATGTAGTTAGTTACATTGTGTCTACAGTCAGAAAGTCAAGGGAGATGAGTGCCGGGGCTCAGCTCACCGTTTGCTTCCCCCTCAGCCCCTGTGATGGTGCCACCTACTTACAGGGTGGATCTGTCCTCTCCTGTGAACCGCCCCTGGAACCTCCCTCAAAGTGATGCCCGGAAATGTGTCTCCTAGTGAAGTAAATCCAGTCAAGCTGACGTTGAAGATGGACCATCATCCCTTCTGGTGTTCTCCACATGACTGGAGATTTGATGAGGTGATACCTACATGTTTTGCTCTTGGGTAAGAGGCACAAAGATAGAGAAGATTACATGGCTGCTGCTGTTATGTGCTCTTGACCCTGTCTGGAGACAGACACAGCTACAATGTGTCAGATATTTTCTCAGAGACCATGGAGCACGCAGGCTGTGTGAGACAAGAGGAGCCTATATCTTTCCTCCACTATCCTTGAGTCACATACTCCAAAGTCAAGGCGTGGGGCAGAAACTGACCAAGCATGAGCTATTTGCTCATGTCGCCCAATATCCATGATAATGCAGGTCCCTAAAATAATATTAGGACAGGAAGGGAAGTATAACCACAGGAAAGGAATGGGTGATTGGGGATGTAGAGGAACTCTTGGTAGTCGTGTGGAGAGTGGTTTGCAGGTGGGGATCCCGGGGACTGATTCATGAGACAGGAATCCAATGAAACAGCTCAAGAGGGGGATGTCCAATCACTCAAAGCAAAAGTGAGAGTGCTGTCGGGTACCGCAGCCTGGATCTTAGCTGTCCCCACAGAGCCGTGTGTTAAAGGTGTGGTACCCGGAACGGTCCTGTGGGAAGGTGGATCCCAGTGGATGCTCTTCCTGTCACATGGGGGAGGCAGACCCTCACAGCAAGAGGGGGCTCCCTGCCCTTTCTCCTTTGCTCTGCTCCCCAGGCACAGCGGGAGTGATTGGCTCTGCTGCTGGACTCCAGGACTGAAAACAAACGGGGCAGATTGCTCAGGGGACAGGAAACTCCAGAGCCGTGGGCCCAAGCAAGCATGTTCTCTTTCTAAATTGATGATCTTAGTTGGTTGTTGTGGTGATGGGGAGATGGGTAGCACACTGTAGGAAAGGCAAATTGGTGATATTTCAGGAAAATGTAAGATGGCAAGGGAGTAATCGTGGCAGTCCCCAACTTTCCAAAGTAAGCCACTGATAACTCGAGTCAACATGGGGGCAGATGCGGCTGGGTATAGTGATGAGGAGCAGGTGGGGTGCTGGCCGTGTGGATGGGGATATGTAGTTGGAGATGTCCACAGTACATGGACTAATGCTCTTTTTGGTTACTCTAGTCTTCCCTACTCGGGAAACAGTCACTGTTCTCCTTTTTGGAAACTCACCCCTTCCCCCTACCAGGTCTGTTGCTCATGGAGGATGAAATTCTCCATCTCTCTAGCCCAGAAGTGTATGTGTGATGTGGCCAACCCAGGTCACCAGATCATTCTGAAATGAGTACGTGACCCAATCAGGGGACATCAGAGTTAGGTTACAGAACTTTCCTGGAATTCACTGGGAAGCAAAAACTTCCTTTCCACTAGGACTTCCCAGCCAGGGAATTCCAGCCAGCCTGGAGTGGCCACCTTGTCACTATTTTGGGAAAAGTGTAGCCAACCAGTGGCAGGAGAGGCCAGATATCACCTATGGGGCATTCGTGACCAGCTATGACTGAAGCTGACTTTCTCTGCTACACAACCCAGCATACATCTATTTCCTTAGTCAGTTGCAGTTGACTTCAAACCACTTGGCTCAGCTACTGGGATTTGGAATCTGGTCTTAGTAAGGGAAATAGGGCTTGAGGAAGACACTGGGGTGTCGGAGAGGAGATGGGACCTCAGAGTTGCAGGGACCTCAGAGTTGCAGGGGAGAGGATAGGTATGGACAGAACCATGAGATGAGCCATGATTTGGGAGCTTGTGTAGAGATGTGCTCAGAAACTTCTAACTCCAAAGCACTAACAATTCACTGTTCTTATAAAGCACTAATGTTTGTAACAGATTGAGAAAACACTTTAAGACAGCTAGAAATACAAGAAGGGGCCTGGGGAGATGCCTCAGTTGGTAAAATGCTTGCCCTGTGAGCATGAGGACCTGAGTTCAGACCCCACACCCCCAGCATCTGTGTGGCAGAGTGCATGCACCTGTAATGCCAGCATTGGGGAGTAGGACAGTGGAGGACCCCCGGGCTCCGCTGGCCAGCTAGTCTAGCTGAACTGGCAAGTTCCAAGTTCAGTGAGAAACATGGTTTCAAAAACTAGTAATGTGATGAGCAATAGGAGAAGATAACCAATGGCTAATGTCAACCTCTGGCCTCCACATGCACCTTCACCTCCATATGTACACATGCATGCATGCACACACACTACGATAAGCCCAGCATGTTTTTTTGTTTTGTTTTGTTTTTTGTTTTTGTTTTTCTGTAAGGAAGATACAGCTGACATTTGGGAAGCCTTTTTAGAAGGGGGGAAAGCAGAGGTTCCTCAGAAGACAGTCCAGAGTTTCTGCCTTTCACATGTCATTGTACTTCTCTGGAGGTCTGCAGAAAGTGCGTCAAATAACAAGCACGCTGGATATTTCTCTGCTAGGACTCGAGGTGTTCAATTCACTTTCCCAGTGCTGCCGAACCACCAGGGCATAGTTAAATGACGTACATTTAAGAACAAGGACCAGTCAGGTCCTGGTGCCTGAGCTGCTGCCCCGAATCCTCTGTGTGCTATTCAGGCTCTTTGCCTAAGCATTGGTGATATTGAAGTTTGTTGAATGAGGCTGGTTTATCTCACATGGGTGCTGAGGTGGATTGTGTCTGTCATTCTTTGTCACTAAGGTCAATTGGGGGACAGTTACAAAAATAGTTTGAGGCCCATTTCAGGAACAGGAGAGGATAGAGTGGGAGCAATTGAGCTTGGGGGTCTCACAGCACTTGGTTCTTTCTACAGGCCTAGCTGCCTCTTACCTGAACAGCTCAGCCTGGTTGAGCCCCTTAGCTCCACTGAGACTCAGTTTCCCCATCTATTAAATAGAATATTGTACAGGGATCTGTGTGAGAATTCAGTGACACTGACCGCATCAGGACACCAGATGAGCATGTGCACATAGCCAGGGCTCAATACTCACTGATCCTCAGTAAAGGAGCTTAACTTTTATTATTATTTTAAAATAATATGTGTGTGTAGGGGGTGCACACATGCCTCTGGAGTTACAGGCAGTCGGGTGAGCTGCCTAACATGAGTGCTGAGAACCCATCTCAGGCCCTCTACAAGAGCAGTATACCCTCTTCCCAGCTGGGCCATTTCTCCAGCTCCTAAGGAGCTCAGGGTTTGTCTTTTTACTGTGTTTTAATTGTATACAAACAAAACTGCATGTGCTCATAGTGCGGTGTTCATCCAGGCCGCGCCCACTGACACAGAGTAAAAGGGGAGTCTCCTTTTCGTTCTCCCTGTTCATCCCACTCCTGGGGTCTCCAGGAAAGAATATTCTTTCAGGTGTACTTTTACCTGTGTGACCTGGTATTGATGTAACCAACCGTTTTATTAAATAAGAAACACAGAAATAATGCAAAAGAGAAAGCCGAGAGGTCAGAGCTCAGAGCCAAAATCTCACCCTTCCGCCTGCGATGTCTCAGCTTCCCGAATGAGCGCTCTATTTCCTGTCTGTTCGTCTATTTAAAGAGACAGAACAAGCCACAGCTATCTCACCTCACCAGTTCCTCAGCTGGTCCTGTTTCCTCAGACTGGAAGCTTCTGTGTCCTCATCCCAATAGCTCTCAGCTGAACTGTGTTGCTCCAAAGCCTGAAAGCTTAACCAGCCAAATGCTTCTAGTTTCTGGTCCTCACGCCTTATATATCTTTTTGCTTTCTACCACCACTCCCTGGGATTAAAGGCTGGCTTTCTGGGATTAAAGGCGTGTGCCACCACCGCCACACTCTTGCAATGGCTCTAATAGCTCTGACCCCCGGGCAACTTTATTTATTAACATACAATCAAAATCACATTTCAGTATAATTAGATTACCACCACAACCTGGTGTACCTACAACACACACCCACCTACTTCCACACGTGCACACATCCTTTCGTACATATCACACACACCAGGCATTGTTAACATATTTATGACAATGGCATCTTTGCAAAGCTAATACATATAGACAAGTATAATAAGCAAGTTCGTTTTTAAGTTGTTTAAATAGTTTAAAGAGTAGATATAACTGCTCTTTTTTTTTTTTTGCTAACAGCTTTGTTAAGATATATATAATTCACAGATCATGCAATTCACCCATTTTTAAGTGCACAATTCTATGGATTTTAGCATGTTCATGGACTGGTATAAGCATCACTACAATTAATTATAGGACATTTTCATTATGTAAAACATAAGGCCCTTGCCAGGCATGGTGGCACACACCTTTAATCTCAGCACTCAGGAGACAGATGCAGGTGGATCTCTGTGAGTTTGAGGTCAGCCTGGTCTACAGAGTGAGTTTAGGACAGCCAGAGCTACACTGAGAAACTGTCTTGAAAAACCAAAACCAACCAACCAACCAACTAACCAACTAAACAAGTCCCTTAATTTTTAGCTATCACTTCTCACTCCCCATGTCAGCCTCATACAACCACTAATCTACATTTGGTCCCTGTATATTCATTTGGTTTGACTTTTTTTCATATGAATAGACTTATATGATAAATGGTCTTTTAAAAAAGATTTACTCGTATTTTATGCATATGTTTGCCTGCCTGTATGTATGTTGTGCGTGCCTGCTGCTCTTAGCAATCAGAAGAGGGTGTGGATCTGCTGGAGCTGGAGTTATGGATGATTGTGGGTACTGGGAATCTGGCCCAGGGGTTCTGCAAGTACAAGTACTCTTAACCACTGAGCCATCTCTCCAGCACTACTAACCATATTTTAATGAGTTTCTTTGTTCCTATAAACATTGGTTTGTGGATACTGTTAGGATGAATTCCTGAAAGGGACTAATACTGAACTGAAGGATATATGCCCTAATTTTCTGACAAATAATGCCAAGTTGTTATGCAAACATCTTATCAACATACTGTTTCTGTCCAGGAGAAAGTGCTTCTTCTGCATCTGCCACAAAGACAGTGCCCTCTCCTCTGATTTAATATCCAGCTTTAATTCACAATGATCTTATTATGAGTGAGGTTAAAACATCTTTTCCTGTGTTGAAGGACCATTTATATATCCTTTTCTGTGAATGTTCTCTCCATTTCCTTTGCCTTTCTTCTGTGTTAGCTGTT